ACGGTAGGCCACACCGCTTCCAACAACCGCTCACAGATTCACTGGGCTTGGCTCGCCATCAATCCCAAGTCAGATTGGATCTGGCTGGCTGACATCAATAAAAAAACAACCGGAGTTTCTACACTTATAAGACGACACAGGCTGTCGTCTTCTAGTTTGGTTCACACAGTGGTTCTTGCAGGTCAGAGTTTGTTAACTAATATAGTTGAGAGTACAAATAACACTTTTTAACTACTATTATGCACACTACACTAGGAGCTGCTCGACTTATGTCTCTGCGTCTTCAGGGAGAGAGAGAGGCGGAGTGATTCGCGCCACATTACCCTGGGTGTACATTCTAGAGTGCTCTGTTCAGAACAACATGTATTCATTAGGGCTGTCAAACGATTACAATTTTTAATCAGATTAATCACAGCTTAAAAATTAATTAATCATGATTCATCACCATTCGAACTATGTCCAAAATATGCCATTTATTTATGTATATTTTTGTGGGAATGGAAAGATAAATGAAAGAAGGCGGATATATCCATTTAACATACACTATGTTTATCTATGTTTATTAAAACATTTTTCTGCGTGTCAAAATGAAAGACAACCCACACACCTATCAATCATCAAACCGTGGGGTCTTAATTCATTGCGTGTTGATTTCTATCAACGGGGGAGTACTTCAGGAAAGTCGACAGGGGGGGGGCTAGTGGAGTACTTCGTGACCACAGAGTGTGAACGTTGTGATCAGCTGTTTTAGCGCAGTTCTCCAGTGAAGGGGGAGGAGTCTCCCTCCGCAGCCGGTTGGCGTAGTTTTGGCACAATTCCGTTGTACCGACGTTAACAGCAGCCCCGTCTGTGCACACGGAGACCGACTCTGTCGTCCGGTGATCTAACCGCCTTCTGGAAAAGCTTCACAAGTACGTCGGTACGCAAATGCGCTTTGTGACACAAGTGACGGTACGCATTTCAGATTACGCACATAACCTGCGTACCAGTTATGTGCACCCCTGAACTACAGCAAAAGTATTCTCCGTCGGGACTTCCTGCAACAACACCACGCCGTTATCAAAGATGTTCTATTGAGAAGACGATCACTACGTGACAAAAGTTTTCAAAACCGTGGCTACTGAAATCAATCTTACTAACTGCTGTCTGTGCAATTGACTCCGCGCGAGTTGGCAGACTTTATTTTGCTTACTTTAACATCATTTTTCATGGTGGGGCTAAGCCATTTCTTGGTATGGGTGTAGCCTACCCCAGCCATACCCTGGCGCTGCCACTGGTGGCACGTATGGGGCGGGCCATTCTGCACATGCGTTAAATGCGTTAAATATTTTAACGCAATTAATTAAAAAAATTAATTACCGCCGTTAACGCGATAATTTTGACAGCACTAGTATTCATACATCTAAATGACATAAAGTAGTCTAGTAGCCCTATATTTTATATGGGTTACACAAGCAAGCTTTCCATCCAAACGTATCACAAATGTGAACCTCATTTGAAAAAACATTGGCATGTGAAAATACGTATGAATGCTTGTTTTTCCTCTACTGCTGTTATGAAATGATTAGGAGTTGGTTCATGGAGATAAGCAGTCACTGGTGCCAATCCTTCAGTCCAAAAAACCCTATACCATTGCAGGAGAAGAAAACAGCGCAACAAGTTGAAATATTCAGAAGAGCCGTAAATGGTGAAAAAGCACCTGGATGGAAATATTTCAGTTTGTATCATGTATTAATGTGAGGAAGGTAACATCAGGTCTGTATGGAGCGATGAGGAGAATTTTGAAATCTGCTTAATTTCGTCTCTTCCGCCAAATAGAAGTGTATGCGTTTCCATTGGACGCTGTTGCCTTTTACTTTTCTCGATACACTGTTGGTTTTTTTACCTTAGTCAAGCTTAAAACACTAGTTTACACATAACCATATCAACCTCGTTCTGGATAATATTGAAGTTAATGATTGTATATATGAACGATTTGCTTTACTTTCTCACAATTTCTGCAGTCACAACAACAACAACTCAGTCTCTACCTGAGTAGTGTGGAAATAACTGCTACTTTCCTGAATATAAGTATGACACAAACACTGTCTGTTTAAGTATTATTTGAAATACACTTTGCTGCAATGAGTAAGACACTAGTGTTGAAATGAGATAATAACAAATCTAAATCTGCTGCACAAATAAATCGTATTCTCAGTCACACACTGACAACTGTCAGCACTGTCATGTTTACATCATCCTGTGGGAAGAACAGCATCTGGTGGGTGTGTGTGGGTTTGTGAGTGTGCGAGAGTAAGTGAAAGCTTGTGGATATGATTATACAGAGCTAGGAGTCACACCCTAACTTGGTCCATGCATCTTTGAAACACACACAAACACACACAGATGAAATAACAGTTAAGGCCAAAACACGCCTTACCTTCCCTTCACAAAGCGCCCAGTTTAAACACACTAACATCAACACACACCACGCTCTGGTTGTGTGACACTAACAGACATAGTAACACACTGCCAGCAGCACCGCCCTGACACACAGACAAGCTGTTTGACTGCCAACGTGTATGACCGGTGTTTGTGTGAGAATAGTTTGGATGGTGAAGAAAATAAGAACTTTAAAAATATATAAAAGGGAATTGAAGATAGAGCATGCACACAACAACACATTTTAAAGTCACCAATACATTCACTCCAAGTTCAAGTTTTTCAATTGTTCTATTATGTATGACTATCTGATGTGAGGCAAAAAAGCGTAAGGTGGGAGAAAGTGTAAAACGAACGCACACACATCTCATAATGAAAAAAAATCAAATCAAAAACTCACCCCCACACTCCTGTGTTGTCTCAAACTCTTTGTTTTTTGTTATAAAAGCAAATGTTTAAAGGTAGCGAAGGAAGAAAGACCTCAAGACGACTACGAAGGAGCACAAGAGGTGAGAGGAAGAAGAGAGGGAGGAGGAGGAGCTGCTTGGCTAGCTAACAATCCTCTTAGCCTGCTGATGTCATGGGACCAAGCTAATCCTACCTTTACTGACTGACCCGCACATGCACGCACACGCACGCACGCACACGCACACACATTGGCTGACTAACTAGCAGACTGACCAACACAGAGGCGCACAAGCAACATGGTGGCTAACCGAGGCCTAGCAACATGTACAGAGCAGTCTAGCCATTGGTTAAATACAATAGCTTACATGGCTGAAAATAGCTGTTCGTGATAAATAAGAAGCTGCTAGCATGAGGTCAGCTGCTCTTTTTACAATATGACTCAATGTTTTGTAGGGAGGACAGGATAAATAAAGCTAGCAAAACAAACTCCGTAAGCTAGCAGCAATTATAGCAACACAAACGCGCCAAACACATGGCTGGTGACTGGCTAACGGAGGCTTAGCCAACATGTACAAAGCAGAATAGTCTGTGGATAAATACAATAAGCAACATGGTTGAAAATAGCTATTAGTGATACACAAGAAGCTGCCAGTGTGAGGTCAGCTACTCTATTTAACATATTACTCACTGTTTTGTAGGGGACAGGGATAAAGGATAAAGCAAGATACAAACAACAGCTAACAGACGATGTACCAACACACAAACACCACATAAACATGGTGGTTGACTGGCTAACGGAGGCTTAGCCAACATATAAAGTAGTATAGTCTGGGGTTAAATAAAATAGCCAACAATGGTTGAAAAATAAATAAAAAGCTGCTCACATGAGGTCGGCTGCCCTCTTTACCAAAGTATTCACTGTTTTGAAGGGAGGACAGGATAAAGAAAGCTAGCAAAACAAAAACCAGTAAGCTTACGGCAGTTAGCCAGGCTGGTATATTCTAGTAAAGGTACACAAGGGAGATTGAGAATGTGATCAAATGCAGATAAAAAGAGCTAGTTTTTTGCATGCTTTTGTAAATAGATGTTCTCTTAACATAAACATTTAAAAATGTACATAATAAAATGCAATCTATGGCTTGTTACTGATGAATTTCAAGTTTCTAAGCCTTTGTAAAGAACTAAAATTGCATTTCTGAGAATATCTCATTAGTTTTTTCTATTTAGATGGATTGAAAATCAAATCAAATATATGGACAGTATTAGTGTGGTTTCTCTACATGTGTACATTTTAATATCCAATTTATATTGTTTATTGGTTTGACCCTTGACATTAAGATAATCTGGCTTTCATCAAAATGTAGTTAAAGAACCTTGTGGTAGGTAGTTGTGGGTGTGTGTGTGTGTGTGTGTGTGTGTGTGTGTGTGTGTGTGTGTGTGTGTGTGTGTGTGTGTGTGTGTGTGTGTGTGTGTGTGGTGTGTGTGTGTGTGTTGTGTGTGTGTGTTGTGTGTGTGTGTGTGTGTGTGTGTGTGTGTGTGTGTGTGTGTGTGTGTGTGTTCACATGGTTCCTGGTGGTGAACTATAATAATCACTGTCACTAATCCGTGGGCTAATCCGCTAGACTACACACAGAGACATACACTTACATTGTACTGTAATTATGTGAGGAATACACACACATACACATCAATTTATATTAATGGGATGTTTGAGGAAACAGCTAGTCTCGCTCATGCTATCCAAACATGCTATATCTTGATAGTGACATCCATACATAAAACAAGGTGTAAAACATTTATTTACATGGTTTTTTGGAAGACCTTTGGTCAGAGCTAGGCCTTGTATTTCAGTCTTTCAGTCAGTCTTTTCCGAGGGCTAAGAGATATCTTGGTATCTTGAATATAAATTGAATGTTTCTCATGCTCTATAGGGCACTCTTTAAACGCCATACATGCGTATATTAGAGTGTGTTTGTCACACATTATATATTGCAAAGAGCTTTATATACACATTGCACAATCGAACCTGGATGTGGAGCTAATTAGAGATTCATAACACAGCCCAGCCAAGCCCTGCGCCTGTGTGTGTGTGTGTGTGCGTGTGTGTGTGTGTGTGTGCGTGTGTGTGTGTGTGTGTGTGTGTGTGTGTGTGTGTGTGTGTGTCCACCTACCTTGTCATCAGCACTCTCTGCTTCTTCTTCTTGGGCCCAGCTCTGCTCCAAAGGCTGCGGACTTCCTGCATACACATGAGCAATGAAAAAATGTAAGCATGAAATATTGTAAAAAAGAAAAAGGATTTATTTGGTTATCTTCCCATAAATCATGTTCTTGTCTCAGTATTGTACAATGTATTCTGGTTTGAAGGCGGGACTGTGTTTATGTGTCCTTGTTAGCACTGTCCTTATTCATATTCAGCCTCTCTTATTCCTACTAAGGATGCAGAGGATGGTGCTGGCCCCTTGCCTGCTGTAACAGCAATAAAACACAGAGGACAAGCGAACGCAGGCTTTATATACTGTACATGGCTATATGTTTCTGACAGAAGATCAAAAACCTCCTAGATATCATTGGATAACAATAAAAACAAAAACAAAACATTGAATAGTGTGAGAACTAAAGCAGAATCTCCCTAATCGTATTGCTCTGCCTTTCTCTCTGTGTATAATCTATAAATAGCCCCATTCTCTTAATTCTACTAAAACCAGACAGGCTCAATCTGGGCTAATCCCAGCCGGCTCCAAGCTTCACCTCCAGTCAATAGAGCAGTCAGAGCAGAGCTTAGCATTCACTGGAGCTGATAAAGGACTATCTGACAAGCAATACAGAACTTTAAACACTATTTACATTACATTGAGCAGTTATTTAATTACAGTTGATTTAAAAAAAGGAAGCTATTAAACAGGACAGTTAAAATAGCACGCTAATAACCAAGAGTCATTTATTGAAACTGGTAGAAATACAGCAAAATCAGTCGTGGTGGACCTGGATAACTTATTACTAGTCGTGTCAATTTGTTCAAATATGAAAGTAAGTCAATCAAGACAAAGGTTTCTTTTTTTAGTTAATCTAAACATCTTAGTTTAGATTATTTCTGAATGATTGGCATTAATTGGACTTAATTAGCAGACAAGGAACCCTAACCCGTGACTCTAGCCCTAAACCATAAGTCACTTTAGCTATAAAGTGAATGTAAGCAGCTAACATCCCAACTAAATGAATTCCCAATTGAGAAGGCATATCTAAGAAATGAAATGCCGTAGTGAACTTCAATAATGGAAAGTAACTCAGTACATTTACTCAAATATTGTACTTAATTACTTTTTTAAAATATTTGTACTGTACTGAGTATTTCCATTTAAAGCTACTTTATACTTCTATTCCGCCACATTTCAGGCAAATATCTTCTTTTTACTCCACTGGGACTTTTACTTGTAATGGAGTACTTTAAGTAGAGATGTTCCGTTCCGATCACGTGATTGGGGATCGGAGCCGATCACGTGATTTTCAAAAGATCGGAATCTGGAGAAAAAAATCGGGGATCGGGAATTATTATTTTTAATTATAAAATATTTTTATTATTTTTAATTAATGTTACAAAACAAAAATGACCATGTTCACGTCTTAAAGTCATCCTGAGGCCTTAGTTTAGGTTTCAAATGACACAACATCATGTATGTGTTGCTTCTTTTGAGCTTGTTTTCAGACCTGGTTGCTTATTTCTCTCAAAGCTGGCAACAGAGTGGGCGCAGTGTCTAATAGTAGCAGCAAGCTAACGAGAGGCTACGTTCAGCTGGTGACTCGGGAGTCGGGACAGAGAAAATGTCAGGAGTTTGGAAGTATTATAAAATTGAAAGCGAAGGCAGTGTAACAGCCAGATGCAATGTTTGCAAGGCGGAGGTTCCGCGTGGTGGAAAGAACAGAGCTACGTTCAACACGACCAATCTAATACGCCACTGAGAAACAAACACAAACAACACGACGAGTACACAGCGGCCACTCGGGTAACGGCACTGAAACAACCGACACTTTCAGGAAAGAGAAACTGCCCCAGAACAGTGAAAAGGCCAAAAAAATAACAGCCAAGATAGCTGAATTCATCGCGTTAGATGACCAGCCGTTATCTGTTACCTTTTTTTTTCTCTTAATGCATTGCATAAAGATCGGATCGGGAAAAATCGGTATCGGCAGATTGTCAAAATCAAATGATCGGAATCGGATCGGGAGCAAAAAAAGGTGATCGGGACATTCCTAATTTTAAGATCATAGAATGTGTACTTTTACTTAAGTAAAGGATCTGAGTACTTCTTCCAACACTGGTGTACTTCAGAACAATGGTGGAAAGGCAGCTCGTCACTGTCATTTGTGCAAACTGATTTTGTTCTCTTTTAAAAATATTGTTCTGTTCAACACTGTGAGCCCTGTTTACCATCAAATCACACAATGGAATAACAGGAGGAAGTTGGGTGTACATTTTTTTTGAATTATTTTGAAAGGTTTACAGATAGATTGCGTACATCCTACTTTTTACTAATCAACTACTTCATCGCAGTATAAATATCTCATTCTTCATTACATGCCTGGTTATTTGGTAAGACTCTCAAACCAAATGTGTGTACGCTTTTAAAGGACGACGGTGTCCTTGTGTGAGAGGTGTTAACTTGGCACAGGCACCTTCAATAAGCCACAGAGGGCAGATAACGTTAAATGAAACTAGGAGAGGTTAATACATTATGATAATGTGTGGCTCTGGTCCAGGGAGAGCAGTGTGGTTTAAAAAGTTGTTTTATGATAAAAGGTGCAGAGCAAAAGACAGTTTGGCTGCTGCAGGGTGGGAATGAGGGACCAATGGAGAGCTCCTCTACTCCACACAGCAGCAGGCGGATAAATGATCTGCTGCTCTGTTCATCTTCCTCTACATCGCACCCTGCTGCCACAAAGCAACCTACACACACTTTATTTCTGTTGAAATGCCTACATGAGCATTTTGGGGTTAAGCATATGTCCAAGGACGTGCTGACTGCAGGGAGGGATTGAACCACTGACCCTCTGATTGGTAGATCAGCTTTACCCCCCTGAGCTAATGCTGCCCATAAAAACGTGCACTATGAGTACTGCCGAGGTGTCCTTGAGCGATGCATTGAACCCCCAACTGCACAGGTGCGCTGCATCCTCTTACTTTCGGCGTGCGCCCCTCATACCAAAATGCAGATTTTCCAGTAAACCTGATTCTAATTCAGATGACACAGTTTACGAGCACGTGATAATAATGGGACTCTAATGAATGCTTTTAATGAATGAGGAGAAATGGAAGTGCACCAGCAGGTGGTGAGGTTGTGCTGTTCCTGCAGGGAGCACACACACACAACACAGGGAGCTATTACAGCCCTGCAGCTGGAGGTAACATGCACTAATGTTACACAATCATTCATGCTCTTTTGCTCAACAGAAATAATAAAACCGTTCAACCCGGCTAGTTTGGATTAGCATCAATGCTTAATGCTGAAATAAGTATGAAATGGTCGATGTGTTTTTTAGTTGTAGATTAACTTACATACCTACAATTGTTGAGAAGTATCATTTCAATGATCTGATATCTGTGCATCAGATCCAATGTTTTCAGTCCTCTGACCCCCCCCCCCCCCCCGCCCTGCAGCTTTACCCTGGGCATGTTACGTAACACTAATCATCTTATCTGTCTAATTACTGACCGAGCCCCTGACCTCACCTCTAAACCTCACACACACCACTTGCCCTGTGTGTGTGTGTGTGTGTGTGTGTGTGTGTGTGTGTGTGTGTGTGTGTGTGTGTGTGTGTGTGTGTGTGTGTGTGTGTGTGTGTGTGTGTATGTGTCTGTATTTGTGTGTGTGTACGTGTGTGTACATGTGTGTCTGTGTGTGTGTGTGTGTATGTGTTATGTGTATGTGTGTCTCTGTGTGTGTGTGTGTGTGTGTGTGTGTGGGTGTGTGTGTGTGTGTGTGTATGTGTTATGTGTGTGTATGTATGTCTCTGTGTGTGTGTGTGTGTGTGTGTGTGGGTGTGTGTGTGTGTGTGTGTGTGTGTGTGTGTGTGTGTGTGTGTGTGTGTATGTGTTATGTGTATGTGTGTGTATGTGTGTCTCTGTGTGTGTGTGTGTGTGTGTGTGTGGGTGTGTGTGTGTGTGTGTGTGTGTGGGGTGTGTGTGTGTGTGTGTGTGGGTGTGTGTGGGTGGGTGTGGGGGGGGGGGGTTTCCACATGTGACTTAATGCATGCTTAATACTGAAGAAAAATAAATCTGTTGTCTGCTTTTACACTTATGCAAGATGTGTGCGTTTGTTTGGTGTACCTTGTGACCAGGAGGGGCAGTGTCTGAGGTAGAAGCTGACCTCCGGCCTCCTGCCCCCCCACTGCTGGAGCAGATCCAACAGTAAGATCTCCTGAGGGAGAACACGCTCTGAAGGGAGATAGAAGGGGAGGAACGATTAGTACAGCTTTATTGTGATTCATAGTATTCGTATTCATTCAGTTATTATGGTCAAAATCATTTAAACTTGTAAAACACTACTTAGCCTCAAGCAGGTAACCTTTACTTTTAAAAGAGCCATTCTGCCCCCTATGCCACCAACTAAATGTTGTCTGGAGCCGAAAAACATATTCAATAACAAAGCTTATTTAAGGTTTTATATATAATTATACTTTTTTTTATTATGATTTTTTTATAATTAAAGATGTTATAACAACTGATTGCAATAATGTCAACATAGCAAACCTAAGAAACAAAAGGTAACATGTATTCATGCTTAAACGCTTTTCACTAAAACAGTTTTTAGATGTTTTGTATTCCCTTTCAAAGTAGACTCTTTATTTATCACCAAGGAAAATGCAATTGTTCACTCTGTTATATAGTACAGTACAGTACACAAATATAAACAGGACCTTTACACATGAGGACTGAATACATATAAACATACTGTAGACAAACAAACACATTCATTTTTTGTTATGGCGAGGTGTTCAGAGCAAACTGAACACTCAGTGTTTTTGGGCCAATCGGGACTTAAACTGGCAACCCTTCGGTCCCCAAGCCATGTCCCTATAGACTGAGCACTTAGATTACATTTACAAAAAAGAATATTAGGTTCAACTTCATATTATTATTGCTTTCAAATATCCTAATACACTTGTGTCAATGTTTCAGTTTTGTCAGTGTATGTTAACTGTAGCTCAGAGTCAGTAGAAACAGCTAGATTCTTTGGTAGCAAAAATAAGAATAAGACAACAATAAGAAACTCTATTCTTATATGAGTCATGTTTTTTTTGTCATTAAATTATATGTAACTGAGACTTTTATTTTAAGCACCTCTAGATTGTTGGCAATGCCTAGGGAGCTAAAGGACACTTTGACATCTTCTCTCCAGGGTCTGGGAATCGAACCACTAACCCTCTGATTGGCAGACGGCCAAACACCCCTGAGCCACAGCCTTCCTTTGATCTTTTCCTTTAGCTCTACTAACAACACACACATGTACACAAAGATGTGGGCCTTGAGGCATGGCCTCTCATCTCAAAGGCAACAACATTTCACACGCCATATATTATGTGCTGCCTCACAGCCCCCCCCCCCCCCCCAGAAACAGTATAGTATCAGAGCCATTTATAACCTGTCTGAGCGCTGCACTGACACACTGATGTGATTGAATGAATGTAGGCCAGGCTTTAACGGACACAGTGGCTCTCAGTGTGTGCATGTGATGGACTGCTCTATTCATGTTGATATAGCCATGCAGTTCACAGCACACACTTAGCGCTGTATTGATTCCTCGAGGTGTAGCTGTGGTCTCAGTGTTTTATAATCGGCTGGAGAGCAATCCATGTGGCCACACTGAGACAAACTGCTATTAAACTGTCAAATCATTCCAGATGAAATCACGTAAATTGTGTGTTTAAGCATGTCTGGCTCCTGCAGAACAACAGTCATTATTATCATCATTTAGTGAGGTCATGCTTCATTATATATGTAAACAGTCTGTATAACAAACATTAGGGATATGTTTATATATTGACAGACTTCCATAGAAATATAATGTATATATAATCAAACACCTGCAGTAGGCCTTGTTTTATTAAGATGTTGATCATTTTGATAGTACGCATTGATTTCTGTTGTCTTATTTTTGCTCTTCTCCTAGGTGAAAAAGTAGTCGGGAACCATCTTACTAAGATAAGAAATCAAAACATCTTGTTTTACACTCCACAAATGTGAACGTTAATCCAACATAAGGTAAAAATGACTTTTTCATTTGAGCATTATAAAAAAAAGATGATGTCCCACCAGTAAAATCACAGGATTACACATTGTTTACGTTTATTTAGCAGTACTCACATTTCACTACAGCTATCTTTATTATTGTACATCCTGTTATTGGTGGCATGAATATGCTATAGTATTTCGGGGGGCGTTACCCATGCTTATAAGTAACAATCACATTTATGATAAATGGGAATCATCATTTAAAACACCAGAGGCCTGTACTACGAAGCTGGTTCAACCTAACCTGGATATGTTTGAGTTAGCCGGTTGGCCTAATCCAAAACATACGCGCTCTCGCTAAGCGGTCCTACGACGCGGGTTATCAAGTGGATCGCTCAAGCCAGCCGTGTCCTATCTAGTTAGGTGCGCGTTCACATGAAAGGGGTGGTATTTGGATCATTCGACCAATCACAAACATGGAGAAGCGTACTGACAGCGCAGCGTCATACTTCCTGAATGAAAAGTGAACTTTAATATTAGTCAAATATGAAGAAGTTAAACTTTAAACATCCATGACTTAAACACTTTATCCAGGATAAAAGCCACATAGCTGCACCTGCAAGGTGAATACAGCTGGTAACAGAACAAGTGTTTGAATGCGTACATTAACAGGTTTATGATATCACTGCCCCGTCCAAGACACGAGTGGATCTGACTTTAAATGCATTTGACTCGAGTGTTTCGTCAACTTAATGTGTTGCTTAAAATAATACTTCTGCATACAGTATGTGACACTGTGAGTGTTGCACGGCCAGATACTGCTCAAGAAGCTGACTCAGATAAGGAGATATATGATACATTATGATGTGATATGATGTGAATGATAATGGGACACATCGACGTCTGCACTCACAGTGCCGCGGACTGTACGTAATGTTACTTTGATCTGGTTACTTATGTTGTGGCAGATATTTAAAGTGGACCTATTATGCTATATTTGAATGATATATTGTAGGGCCATACCTATATAAAACATGTCTGCAAAGTTTTTTTTTCAAAATACCAAACAGATCATGCATTTTAGCCATGCCTCATTTCGCTCTATTTGCTCTTTTTTAGCCCTGTATTTGCAAGGGCTGAATCTGTGAGAAGTCTTCTTCGCTGCTTTTGTGGCAGACTACAGCGCCACCCAGGCTTGGAATTTTGTCATTTTAGGGGCAAGGCCATTTGGCCTTCCCGTTCACATTTGTTTCAAGGGCACAAAGGCCACATGACAGGGCACAAAGGCCACATGACAGAGCACAAAGGCCGTTTGGTTAAATTACGCTGGTCAATCAACATGACTGAAAAGTGTAGCACTAACGTCAACACCAGTCGTTTTACAAATGGCTGAATAGCAATAGTGTTTCTTTAACGTATACGTTAAGTTCAGCCATAAACCACATAAGTCAGTCATGTATTATATCAAAACCGCTTAGCAAGAAAAATACTAGATTCAAAGGTGACAGCTATCTGCTAGCTTGTAGAAGCAACACTAGATGTAGACCCCTTGAAGGGAAGACGTTAGCGCTATCCAAACTAGCTAGCTATCGCTAGTTTTCATGACAAAATGTAACGAGTCGACTTTAAATAGGCTAATACAATGGTAATTACCTATCAATAGTACTTTCTATAAACACGTAAATGTTAAGTCCTTTCAAATACTACCACATACTTCAGTTAAATCATATCAAAACAGCTTGGTCCGCTTGCTTACCTGTGCTTGTCTTGCTCCCGCGGCTGAGGAGGAGGCTGTCGGGCCCCTACAGGCATTTCTGACGGAACAATCACAGCAGAGCAATCGCTCTGATCCACAGGCACGGGACTATCCTACTGCGCGCACTAATATGACTTTACTAGCGTTGTTTACACTGGAACTTTTGACAGGGGCACCAAGGCCACTTTGGCCGTGAATTGCATTTTTTTCACAGGGCATCATGGCCAACGTGCGGGGCAACGACGGCCATGGCCGTCGTGGCCGTCGTGAAATTCCCACCCTGGCGCCACCTACTATAGTAATCAGCAGGGAACCGCTTCAACACGTGTATTTTGGTGTATTCACGGCATTCATTTAGTTATTCTACAGTATTGTTGTTTTATAGTTATTAACCCAATTTGTGTTCTTTGAAATTGAAAAGGATATCGCATTGTGTTTGTTACTTCCGTTGCAGTTGTATATGTCTTAAGTGTAATTTGGCTTGGCTTCCTATTTATGGACATGCTTTTATTTTGAAGGAGAGGTAGCGCTGTTGACAGGAAGTTGTTGTTGCTTTGGAAACAACGTGACGGAGATAACGGAGAAAAGTAATATCTACATATAAAGACGGAGAAAGTAAACGATAACGTTTATGGGTAAGTGTTAGCACCCTCCGAACAAGCTCTTACGTTGATATTGGAGATTTCAATAAATTCAATTTGAAAAAAAAACGGGGAAAAAACAAACAAAACGAATATCCGAATAACGAAATTGAAACCCGAATAGTACTCCAAGGAACGAATATTCGGATATTCGGGTACAGCCCTATTCAGCAGGCGATGCTTTCACTGAGTTGATCTCTTAGCCTGCAACCTAACCTGCTCCGGAGCAGGTTAGCCACTCAGCATAAGTTACCATGGAAATCTAGCCTGCTAAAAAGAGAACCAGCGTCGTAGGACCGGAAACCCAGAGTTTTCCCTGAAGTTAGCCCGCTAAGCGAAAATCCTGCTTCGTAGTACAGGCCTCTGGAAAGTGCAGATTTCAAACTGGCTTCTTTTATTTTTGCTCTTAACTGAAAATATAAGAGAAATGTAAAGTAATGATGCTGCATTGAGCCCAATGTGTGTAAACATCTAGATGTTAATCTTATGAGTTCATTTCCAATAAGGATCATCTCTCAGTCTGTTAAAGACTGTTAAAGACTGTTAAAGTTAAAGTGTTAATGATTCAATCAGCTCACCTTGAGCAGAAAGCTGAAACCATGTCATTTATGTATACAATAGTTGATCATCTGCAAAGGCGGACACACTTATGATAATCTTATGTTTACCTTTTTTTTGGTCTTCATTATTCCTTCTTTATTTTAACTGTTTTAAATGTGTTCCAAATGTCATATTTGTACTAGTGTCATACTGTAGTGTAGATGGGATGGACTCACCGTGTCCGTTCCATACTTCAGCGAGGTGACACTCCCCCTCTCCGGCTTCTTTACAGTATTCCACAACGTCAATCACTCTGGTTGCCGGAGTAACCGGGACCTCAGTAAGCATCTGCTGGGTGTCATTGAGGTAAACTGTCAGGATCACCTGTAACCATAGAAACAAATATGTCAGATGTCATAAAATGGCTTAATGTATATCACCTTTCCACTTCAGGAACATGAGCATAATGGAAGTTCTTCTCACTGATTAGTGGAAGTGTGGACTCGAGTCAGACTCGAGTCACCAATTTGATGACTTTGGACTCGACTTGACAAAATCACAAAACACTTGCGACACTTGACTCGGGACTTGACTTGGACTTGAGCTTTCTGACTTGAGGTGACTTGATAATTTAATTCAGAGGTATCCAACACGCCGATCGCGAGATGCCGCTAGAAGAGCAGACTCGCGTCGGGGAGAGCAGAATCTTCAGCCGCTCCTACTCTTGCTGAGAATCCTTGCAGGCAGGGGCGGGACTTTATTTAGCTGGGCCACCATGCGGCCAATCATATGCGAGGATGCACTAGGATCATACCACTATGTGAAAGAAGGGTGGGGGGCAGACGCTCCAAAGACAGCAGGTGTAGTGGTACAGGCCAGCTGCACAGGGCAACGGGGAGCCGGATTTAAATACAAGCGCGTCGGAAAAAGTCAAGAAATGAGCGAAAACCAAAAAAAGAAGCAGCATCTGGCTGCTTTTCAATGATATTGGAGAAAGCAAAGCTGAGTGCAGGATTTGTAAAATGAAAATAACCTTCAGGGCAGGGTTTTCTTTTGGTAACCACTCAGGATTTATTGCCAGAGGTGGGAGAAGTTCAGATCTTGTACTTGAGTGAAAGTACCAGAGTGTAGGAATACTCGGTTACAATAAAAAGTCCTGCATTCAAAATGTTACAAGTAAAAGTATAAAGTATTCGGCGTCCTCATCACCAACAACCTCTCCTGGAAGGACAACACCACAGCTGTCATCAAGAACGCCCAGCAGTGTCTGCACTTCCTGAGGGTGCTCAGGAAGAACAACTTGGCCACTAAGCTGCTGGTGACCTTCTACCGCTCTACCCGGGAGCCTTGACATACTGCATCACAGTGTGGTACGCCAGCTGCACTGAGGCCGACAGGATGAGGCTCCAGAGAGTTGTAAAAGCAGCACAGAGGATCATCGGCTGCTCTCTTCCCTCCCTGATGGACATCTACACCTCCCGCTGCCTCAGTAGAGCCAAAAACATTGTTAAGGACAGCTCACACCCCGGCTTTCACCTGTTCAACCAGCTGCCCTCCGGCAGGCGCTATGGTGTATCACATCCAAAACAAACAGACTCAAAGACAGTTTTTTCCCAAGAGCCATCATTGCTCTTAACACCTGACATGTGAATCAATGTGACTCTGTACATATACATACAGTATATATCATTACTATTATTATTATTATAAATACACACTATTATTATTATTATTTATTACATTACAGATTTTATTTTATACTCCTGGAAATAATTACTGCACTTTACTCTTTATTCCTTTATCCCTTATTTCTAAGTATGTATGCTGCGTGTATTTTGTTGTCTTATGTTGTGATGTTTTGTTTTTGTTTTGATGGCACCCTTGAAAGGGAGAAGCATTTATCTCATTGTACATGTATAATGACATTAAACTATTCTATTCTAAGCATCAATATATAGTTAAAGTACCACCTGCAGAGGGATCTAGATTCAGGTGTTCTCTTCCCCATAGAGACCGCCTGGCTGCACATTATCCCTTGCATAAAGATAGATTGTGGGTCCCTTATAACATGTTGTACACAGTGGAAATAAACATTCTGGTTACCTCAACATCAGGGATCTTATACATTAAACTCCTTCTGAATCAAACCGTCCCAGTAGCCTACTGATTCCTCTTAAAATAGAAGAAAAACACATTGAGACTTGGACTTGAGCGCAAAGACTTGAGACTTGACTCAGACTTGCAAAACAATGACTTGGTCCCACCTCTGTGATTAGTGATTGGGTTCAAAGAGATCAACTCATTAACTTTGGTTAACCAATCGATCAACATGGTTCCAATATTAACCAGTGATAAAATCAATCACTCCTGTTCCGATCTCAGAAACAGGAAGCAGCCTGGCTGATCACGTTCAGATGGGAGAGGAAAATGAAGGTAAACAAATAAAGACAGTGACCATCAGCTCAAACAAACCATCTATCAGATCCATAGATACGGATACATTAGCAGAGTGTGAATACACAGTGTACCAACGGAAAATGAAAGAAATCCAATCAGAGACAGCCCATGTACAGGAATGCAACTTGTCTTTGAAAGCACAATATAAAGATACATTTGATCTAACGTTGATGTGTTAATGCTCATTATTAATCTGGAAACACATTGAAAAAACATTCATGCAAATGAATCACATGACCAAGTTTGACACAAAGTTGCTCCTGTAATAGCAGAACAGATGTTTACCATGGATAGCATGGCATTGAAAAGGCAAAGAAGGCGGAGGAACTGGTTCCTTAGGTTTAGTGAAAACAGAGGAAAGGCATTTTGCCGAACCATGACCCATTTTTCTGAAATTGCACAGAAGCGGGAGATAGCGGAAAGGGCCACCCCCGTAGGACCAGATAGAGCTCGCAGTGTGAATACTACACACTGTAGCACACATTATACAGCAGCTTTGTCAATGCTTTAGCTAAGTGCCGGAAAATTGTCGGACCATATGCTAATAATTCAGAAATCATGTTACAATAAAGTAAAAAAGCCTTGGATTTATCTCACCAGATTAAAACTTGATTACAACGCTGCATTTGTAATTACTAGTATTCTAAACAGGTGCTTCATCAGGATTAATCACAGATTATTATTGTGATTAACGCAAAAATGTTTATAGATTGACAGCACTAAATGTAATCTTTAAGACATCAAGACAAACATATTGTCAAGTGATTAGAAGGTCATTGAGATAACAGCAGTATGTAACAACACACAGCCATCCATCTGACTTAGCAACACATTGATCACAGCTCTGTAATTACCTATCAATAATGGCTTGCACAAACAAGACATGCACGTACATAGCCCTAGGACAAAGGTTTATTTCAATGTGATCAAATGAAAAGGTAAATTATCTCATCATTCCATCCATATTAAATCAGAAAGGTTCCAAAACCCAATGTATATAACTCTTTAGTTAGTTTAGTGTAGATTTATATAATCAAGGGAGTGTAATATTGCCAGAATGAAAAAGATATTGGTTTGGTTTATCATTTTTAACATTTATCAGCTGATCCCCTCTGAAATCATTCTGTTATCCAATTCTCAGAATTCTCGAGGAAAAAGATTAAAATAGCAATCAGAAAAGGACATCCTGTGTTATTGCCAGTGATGTCATCGCCAATGTCACTGCTGATGTCATGTCAGATAGTCATCGGCATTTAAAGATACATTTAGGGTAATCTGGGATAGGAACACACCGAGGCACACACACACACTGATACAGATGCACTTTTAATCTCAATGTTCTCTCTCTCTAGCTCTGAAACACACACACACACCATCCACTGTCCACATACACAGGCAGACACACAGGAATATATACTGTACAGTACACTAATCCATAGTATTCTACACACCTGTCCCAGATCATGTTAAGTAATCTCTGCTTGCATGCAGACAGACTGGACAGGGACACATTCACTAAAGCCTGTATTAGATACACACAAACACACATGTAAAATCAAACAACACACACACACATAAACACACATGCAGACCCTGCAGACACAGCAGGGGTTTTAGCAGACCAGGAATCATTTAAAGTAGGCTAATCATGGCCTCACGAGGGCTGTGATGTTTCTGCTTTACATGGTAGGAAACAGCATTTGTTACACTGAAGGACTGTTGGCAGAGATGACAGAGTGTTTTATATAATCAAATCACTCAGAGTGCTTTTCTCATTTGAGGCAGATATCAACAGGATACTCATAAATCCGTAGAAAAGCCATCCAAAATATTTGTCATCCAAAATATGCACTATAAATGTAGCACGCACATTCAGTCATTAGAAAATAATTGCAGAGATATGTTTAATATGTAGCAACCAGTGGCTTTCATTCGGGGGGGGGGGCTCTTGGGAAAAAAGGTTGGGAACCCCTGGTCTAATGGATAGTGAGGTGGGCTGATGATCGGAAGGTTGCGAGTTCAAATCCCGCTTGAAACACCACTACTAGTGTGCCCTTAAGTAGGGCACTTAGCCCTCAGTTACTCCAGGGAGAATGTCCCTGTAATTGGTCATTGTAAGTCGCTTTGGAATAAGGCGTCTGCTAAATGCCTAAATTGTAAATTATATTTTTGGGAGAATAAACACCACAGATCCTCAACTCCGGTGTGTCTCACTCATTGACAACGCAACACAGAGCAACAAGAACGTTGTCTACAGTAGCCATGAACTCGCATGAATTTTCTTATTTGAGAGGGGGTGGGTGGCGTGGGCCACCCGAATAGGTTAAGGGGCCTTTGGCTTTTCTTGCCGGGGGGGGTTGCGGTGCCCCCACAAATAGAATCAAATTCTGTGGGAAACACTGGCTGGTGTCAGACGTGATCCAGACATCCGTGACTAAAATCCTTCCTCCGGTTAAATATAGTTAAAAAAATACCAATTGTATAGCATTAAAGTTCAAGAAAGGATGGTTTGTGGAGAAAAAAATTGTATTTTCTTAAATTCCTGTATGTTTTCATATCGCAATATATATCGCAGGGGGGAAAAAATCGCAAGAAGTGGTTGCATGCATCACATTTGACTAATTTCGCTCTTGGCTAAACAAGCACTACAATTACATTCTTCTCTTTCAATTAATTAGAAAAATCATTTCTAGTGACCAAAATGAACATATGATATTATACTAAAAAGCTCTTAAGGAGTAGTGCATGAATGAGTCCAAAAACCTGTGTCATCTCGAAGATTTTTTGAATGTCTGTTTGGTTAGATGCCTGAAATAAGGTTTGTGGTTAACACAAGCTGAAGAGATTTCATGTTTGGTTCTATAACATAAAATAATGGAAATGGAAAATCCCATTGCTTTGTGTAAAGGGAGCCCCCTAGCTAACTA